ATCTAATAGTCAAGATACTAGCATTCTGGTCCAATATAATTGTCATTCATCATGATCATATCTTTTCAAGCTAATCATCATCACTATCATCAGATACATCATCTAGGTCTACCATTTCAATATCTGTCACCTCCTTCATGCTCTTATGCTATCCTTGAATGATAGAGGCATAGCTGTGATGTTTGCGGTTCTTGTAGCTCCTCCAGATGTCAACGAACCCATCCCTGTTAGGCTCAAATCATCAAGCTCATGCCTATGAGGTCGCCCAACCTAGCATCCTTTAGTGATCCCAGTTGCCATGACTTCTGACATTCCGCCGAGAGAAGCCCCGCTCGCACTCAGCAATGCTGAGTGGCAGAACAGCAAACTGCCACCCACACATGCACCATGTTGGGGTAGTTCTCCTGCCATTCAGATGTTTTTCAGCATTGTCGTGATTCCTACATGAAAACTATGCTCGTTCTTGTGGGCAGCCACAATCACCAATGTAAACATCCTCAACTCCTTCACAGCACGGTGCTTGTTCATACCTGGAGGGGGGTGTAAACGTATAAGACGGTATAATGTTTACTGACTTAGCTAGACAGGTTAAAAGGGACACAAACAGCAAACGACAGCTACATCATGGTATGCAGCAGTTATTTACAGACTGGTATCTTACTTATCTCGCAGGATTCCGTCGGTCAAGTCTGCCTTGAAGAGCGTAATCAATGACTCCAACTACTTGAGACAACGTGCATTCCACTTGCCTCGTTCCATCGGCCAAGCGCCAGTGGCGAAGAGTCTTGCCCCTGACAACGACTCCAAATCGCCTAGTATGTTGTTCAATATCAACTCGGCAAACTCCGTCCAAACGTCGACGTACTAGCAGAAGATTCAAAGAAACAGCAGGAAAAAAAAAAAACATTCTTACCTCCTTACTCTGGAATGCCTTGTTCAAGACGTTCAACTGCTCAAGTACATCGGCAATGAAGTTCAGGAGGAATGAAAACGATAGCTCGAAACTAAAGCAACATCTTCGCATCATACTCCTTGAGCATGACAATGACATCAGGCAAAACGGCTAGGAACCGAAGCACATCGTCTCCTTGCGACAGCTAACGGACTGCATGTATGCCCTGCACTTCAACGTCGGTCGACGTAAAGACCTCCTAGAGATTCATGAAGCGCTGGTGGCATGACCCAGGCCAGCCGAGATGCTCAGCCACGGCTCGGACGAGCGTGTCAATCGTCTTGAAGTCTGGAATCTCGTTTGAAGCATCTCTCGCCGCTAGAGCATCTCTGTATATCCACACTAGAAAAGAGTTGTCAGTGCACTTGTTTAACGTGACCTCAAAATAAAGAAAACACAAAATACACAAACAATATGGCAAAGTCCCAGTCACTAGACCACTAGGATAAAAGGGCCTTTTAAGTAGCGGGTCCGTGCGCCCATAACCCCACAGGCAACATGCTTGTAACCCTTCCTGGGATCAATCGAGGATCCACAATCTAGGTCTTTTGACACCCCTCCATATAGGGAGGCCCGAGGCACAACACATCACAAAGGACATCATTTGCATACACCACGATTCGAACCTTGAGAACTTTAGCTCTAAGGGCAGGTCCATCGCGTACACTATCCGTACATTACAGTTCATCCAGTGCGGTAATCTGAAGTGTGTCGAGGTTCAAAACGGTGCAATCCTAAAACCGTTGTGCACCGCATGATAACTTTTCTCACCTCGATGAATGAAATGTATAGTACATGTAAACGTACGCGCTGGACACGCCCTAAGACCATGTCAGAATCCTAGCCACTAGACCACTGGGATAAAATGGCTTGTTTCCGTGTCAGTGCACCCAGACCCCCTTCAGGCTAACATATCTGCATCCCCCTTAAGATCAATCGGAGATCGCTTGTAGATGTCTACTGTCACCCCCAAATACAAGGAGGCCTAGAAGACGGCACAATGCCTTCGACAACCTGTGCATACATGAAATTCAAACACGAGACCTTCTGCTTTGATACCATGACAAAGTCCAAGTCACTTAACCACTCGAATGAAAGGGCGCTTCAAGTAGCGGGTTCGTGTGCCCATAACCCCCCATTCAACAGTCATAGGATCAATCGGGGATCCACAGTGTATGTGAGGATCGAAGAAATGGTTTAAAAATGCTTGAAAACTACTAAGGTCCGACACGGAGCTATATATAGGCTGGACACAAGGCCAATAACCCTGTCGTTACTAGAAGGTTTTGTGGTCGCGAAGCATCCCGAACGGGTCCTTCCCAAATTCGGTAGAAGCGATTTGTTGGCAACCGAAAAGCATAAATTTTGGTGCACGCAATCTAGAACGGTCATGTAACTATAATAAAAAATAGTGAGCACGATCAAAACATGCATAATAACATAAAATAAGCTAGGGAAAGCATAATAAGGTAAGTCCCAATAGGTAGAGCCGTCGTATTTTCACAGCGTGGGTCTTCTGACACATAACGTTGAGAAAACTGAAACGAGAATGTGTGAATTATGAAATGAAATGAGTACAAGTAGTAACCCTAATTGGGTTGTACCCCCTATGGGATACCCCACTATAGCCTACACAAAAGTATAAGCTATAATGTTCTGACACACCCCCATAGGCAAAGTGGGGGAGAACAGGGGGTCACAAGACCAGTCAAGCAAAGCAAGCTCAGGGTGGATCACAAAGTCACCACACATTCCGAGCAGAAGTTCAAGGCCACAAGGCTAGTTCACATGCAGGAGTACATATATATATAAGGTTAGACAAGCAAGAGCAGGTATATATATATGTAACAGTACAAGCAAGGTCAAGAGGTGAGCAAGTGAGGAAAGACAGTGACAAGACCCAGCTGAGTGCAGAAGCGCTGATGATCACAAGGCGGAAGTGCCTTGGTGAAAACATCAGCAGTGTTGGCCTCAGAGGCCATGTACGCAAGCCGCAACTGACCACGCTGCTATAGCTCACGAGCAAGGAAGTAGCGAAGAGCAATGTGCTTCGTTCTGTGCTCCAGTCGCTGATCTCGACACAAGGCCAGCATGGCCTTGTTGTCTACGTACAGAACTAGAGGAGAACGAGGCGGCTCTCCAAGGTCGGTCAGAAGGTAGGTGAGCCAGCGAAGCTCCTGTGGAGCCATGGCCCCTGCGTAGATCTCAGCCTCACAACTGAAGCCGAGAACAGAAGACGAGCGAGTAGCCCGCCACGACACAGTGCCGGAACCAAGGCTGAAGGTGTAACCCTGTGACGACCGCTGTGTAGCCTGGTCGTCAGCCTAGGAAGCGTCTGCGTGCCAAGTGAGGACCACTGGACTCCGCCCTCCAAGCACTAGCCCCATGCCCGATGTGCTGCACAAGTAGCGCAACACCCTCTTTGCTGCAGCCATGTGCTCTGGTCGGTGTCTCCCAGGAGCAACATAGCGTGCGAGAATGCTAAGAGGGTATGCAAGGTCAAGTCGTGTGCAAGTCATCAGGTACATGAGGCAGCCAACAAGCTCTGGATACGGGCCACTCGACTCTACGGACTCATCCTAAGGCAGAGCTGAGAGTGAGTGGCGAGTAGGCAGAGGAGTGGCCTGAGGCGAGGAGTACGTGAAGCCAAAGCGCTGAAGGACCTGCTGCCCCATGTGTGACTGAGTCAGGGTAATGGTGCGGCGTGCTCTGTCCCGGGTGATCTGCAAGCCAAGGTAGCTGTGCAGTTCACCCAGGTCTGTGCACGTGTATCTCTTCTGCATCTCGGACTTCACGTAGGCAAGTCCAGCAGTGTCAGCAGTGGCAAAGACCAAGTCGTCGACATACACGAGGATGTAGAAAGGCGGAAGAGAGGTGTCGGTGCGCAGAAACAGCGACGGGTCGGCAGTAGAAGGAGCAAACCCAAGAGCCGCAAGAATAGTCCTCAGTGTGTCGTGCCACTCACGTGGCGCCTGGCGGAGACCGTAAACTGGACGCCGGAGGCTCCACTAGGTACCAGGAGGGAACGACCCAGTGAAGCCAGGTGGGCGACGCAGCCAGATCTCCTCGTGCAGGCTGCCCTGCAAGAAAGCTGTGCTGAAGTCGAGAGTGTGAAGCTCGTAATCCCGGTGAGCAGCAACGTGCAGGAGTACCCGAAGAGTGGTCATCTTCGGGGTGGGGGAGAAGGTCTGAAAGTAGTCAACTCCCTGCCGCTGGCTGAAGCCACGAGCCACGTAACGCGCCTTGAAGACAGGCGGAGAACCCGGCGGCCGCTTCACCCTGAAGATCCACATGCCACTGACGATGTTCGCCCCAGGAGGGGGGACAGCGTCAACGTAGGTGCCTCTGGACTTCCAGGAAGCCATCTCTGCATCCATAGCTGCCTGCCACTGAGAGGAGTAGGGACCCTCTATCGCCTCCGCGTAAGAGCGCGGAGTCGGGATGTCTAGTGCATCCGGGTCTCCCTCAGGGGCTAGCAGTACAGACGCGAGATGAGGTGAAGCGGCAGCCAAGCACTGAAACTCCTCCTGCCTGTCCTCAAGGACGTCCGTGCCAAGGGCACACGCACCCCCGACGGACAGAGGACAGACAGACTCAGACTCAGCGACAAGACTAGCAGCGTAGTCTAGACGACAGCGAGCAGCAAAGTCGACGAGCTCAGCAACTAGGGCAGACGCCGTAGAAGACTCGAAGGAAGGGTGAGTGACGGCAGTAGCAAGGAGACGCGTGACAGTAGGATTGGCAGCACGAAGAGAGTCCGACTCCGGGTCGGCAAGAGTAGGAAGAGAAGACGTAGGAGGAGAAGGCAAAGGGGCACGCAGAGAAGCAGTGGACGGACGCAGAGACATTTGGTGCGTGCCAGGGACAGGAGGAGGACGCTGACGCGAACCACGACCACTAGTGCGAGCAGCACGAACAGGCGACGCAGGACGAGACGCAGGCTCACGACGCTCAGCAAGACCTCCAGTAAGACCAGTGTAGGGAGAGGGAGCAGGTAGTGGGGAGGCAGGCTGTAACTGTGGATGTGACGAGACAGGCTGTGGACACTCTAAAGAAGGAGGAGGACCTGTAGAAGGTGGAAGACCAAGAACCTGCTGCAGGAGTGGAACGAAGTACGGTCGAGGCCGTGCGGCGACGCAAGACACAGCAGGGACAGCACTAATACCCCCAGAAGGAGCACCCGCTCCAGCAGCACCTCCAGCAGCTCCAAAACCTCCAGCAGCACCTCCAGCAGCTCCAGAACCTCCAGCAGCACCTCCAACTGCTCCAGAACCTCCACCAGCACCAGTAGTACCCCCAGCAGGACCGCGGGCAGTAGACTCAGCTCCAACGCCCGCAGAAGCACCAGATCTAGTCGAACCCGCAGGCCCAGCAGCTCTAGTACTCCCAGTACGAGCACCTCCGGGACCCGCGGCACCAGCACCATCAGCAGTCGAAGAGCCTCCAGCTCCAGCAGCAGGCCTCCAGCGGCGTGCAAACCACTCGCGCAGCTCCGGGGGAGAGAGTGGCTCCCGGCGAGACGAAGCCCCCGGAAGACCCCCAGACGTAGCACCTCCAGGCTCAGCACCCTCAGTCGCAACACCCCTAGGCTCAGCACCCCCAGGCTCAGTACCCCCAATCGCAGCACCCTCAGGCTCAGCACCCCCAGGCTCAGCACCCCCAGTCGCAGCACCCCCAGGCTCAGCACCCCCAGGCTCAGCACCCCCAGTCGCAGCACCCCCAGGCTCAGCACCCCCAGGCTCAGCACACCTAGTCGCAGCACCCCCTTGGCTCAGCACCCTCAGCAGCACCAGAGTCACCAGTAACCTCGACAGGCTCGACTGCGTCTACATGGGACACACCTGAAGGGGCAGGACCCTGAGGGGGGAGGGGGTCTACCGGGGGGGGACCTGGGACAAGGAAGAGCGGGGGTGGGGGGAGGGACGGAGTGCGGTAGGGGAAGAGGCGGTAGTAGGGGACCGACTCGTCAAACGTGACGTCCTGGGAGGACAGAACACGGCGAGAGGTGGGGTGGTAGAACTACCACCCAGGCGCGTCAGGGGGGAACCCCAGGAAGACGCAAGGAGCAGCACGAGGGGACAGCTTGTCCGCAGACAAGTCGCGGACAAACGCCCGAGATCCCCAGACTCGGAACGCCGACGCATCGCCAACCTTTCCCGTCCACAGCAAGGCTGGGGAGGTCTCCAGCCTGGAGACCCTGGGGTGGAGGTTGATCTGATGCGCCGCGTACCTCACCGCAAACGGCCACAGAAAATGGGGGGCAGCCGCATGCATCATGGACGTACGAGCGACGTCCATGACCATGCCAATGCGGCGCTCAGCGATCCCATTTTGTTGCGGAGAGTCCGGAAGCGTGAAGGTCTGACGGATGCCTCGTGCGCGACAGTAGGCTCTCAGAAGGCCAGAAGAAAACTCTCCGCCTCTGTCCGAGTGCAGACGCAGAACAGGAAAGTCCGAGCCAAAGCTCTGCCTGAGCTGGAGACGAGCTGCGCGGATCCAGTCGATCAGCACCTCAGTGACATCACCTTTGCTGCGCAAGGGGAAGACCGCGGTGTAACGCGAGTAGTCGTCAACAACGAGCAGGAAGTAGCGCTCGTGACCCTGTCCATGGACGCGGGCTGGGCCCCACACGTCCATGTGAAGCGTCTGCAGCGGGGCCTCTGTCGGAGGAAACTAGGAGGAGTGAGGGGCAGCCCGCTGGCGCCCCTCGACACAGGGGAGACAGGCAGGGCCAGGGCCCTGAGGAAGGGGAGGGAGGGACCGGGGGAGACCAGACACAAGAAGACGGGAGGCCATGCCTCTGAGCCGAAGCAGAGAGGGGTGACCAAGGCGGTGGTGCCAGAGGAGAGTCTCGTGAGACAGGAGACGACACGAACAGGGGGCAGACTCAGGACCAGACCTGGACGCTGCAGCAAACACCTGACCCGACGCAGCTACCCTACCAGACTCAGCAACGGGAGGAGACGCAGTGGTCAGTGTGTACAGGCTCGACCCTGGCTGACGTGTAAACGTAGCCAGGTGTCGGCCTGTGCTAGCCTCGGTGCAGTGCGTCACCCGCTAGCACGCAGGAGTGAACTGGTGGACACCCGCATCCTGTAGGTCAGCACCACTCACCAGGTTCGTAGAGAACGAGGGGAGGTAGAGACCAGACAGGGTGCCAGAGGGAGCCGCCGGACACGGGAGGACTGTAGAGAAGCGAGACAGGACAGGACCCCAGAGGGGTCAGCCAGAGACACCGCAACCGGCCGACTAAGCGGCTTGAGTGTGGTGCGGTCCCGAAAGAAGGAGCGAGAAGCCCAAGAGTCAAGGGTGAAGGTTAGGGAGGCCGAAGCCGACGTAGTACCTGAGAGCGCAGACTCACCAGTACCTGAGGGCGCAGACGCACTGGCACCTAGAGCAGCAGCCTCACCGGCACCTAGAGCAGCAGTACCAATGCCCGGGTCGGGCGGGAAACACTGGTAACAGTCACCCTCATCACTAATAGTAACAGCATACATTGCAGCAAGGATAGCATCAAAGTCAAGATCAAAGATAGCTACGCCTGCCCTAGACAGCTCTCCCCAGCGGGGGATCTCACTGGCCTCCAGGAACTGCTGACGCCAAGCGTCCGTCAGGCGGCCAAAGCAGCGCTGGGCGGTGTGGGCACCCCCACACTGCTCACCCGCGCGGTCGCCGGTGCGAAGGACGTAGGTGCAGGGACCAAAGCCCCCACCACGCTGACGCTGCGTGTACCACTCACGGAGCTGCTGAGGGGACAGGCCCTCACGACCTCGCTACTGCTGCTGGCGCGTGGCAACACCGGAGCCACTCCTCTGCGAAGACCCGCGACCAGCTCCACCGCCACCCCCGCCGCCTCCGCCGCCTCCGCTACTGCTGCCGCCTCTGCCACCGCCTCCACCGCCGCCACCTCCGCCACCGCCGCTCCCACCGCCGCCACCGCTGCCACCTCCGCCTCCACTGCCGCCACCGACCCCTCCACCCCCACCTCCACCCCCACTCCCCCCACCGCCGCCACCTCCACCTCCACCGCCCCCGCTCGCTCCTCCAGTGCCCTTGCCCCCTTTGCCCTTGCCAGGGCGGCGTCTCCCGCTAGGGGCAGACGCCGCATCGACCGACTTAAGACCAAGGAGGTCGGCCGCAGCAGCAGAGGCAACAGAGGGCAGAAGGGGGGAGGGGGAACACCCCTCAAAGATGGGGGTGCGCGGGTCACCACGAGAGGCCCCTACAGCGACTATGCCCTTCTCGGCCGCTAGGAGGGACTTCTCAAGGAGGTCTACAGTGAGAGTGGTGGGACAGACTGAGAGGAAGTGGTCCCTGACTACGCGAAGGGAGTCAGGGAGACGAGTGACTATGTAGTAGAGGGTGATGTACATGGGGGGGGGGGTTCTTGGCGCAGAAGTCAGCAGGTAGTGCAGCGCGGTAGCGAGTGTCATTAGTGCGGAGGTGCGTAATGAGGTCAGCGACTGTGGGAAAGGCAGCAAGGTCAGGGAAGAGGTACGGTAGCATGAGACGGCTCAGTGCAGCAGTGGCAGGGGAGGAGTAGCACGCAACTACAGCGCCGTACAAGGTGTGAGCACTCTTGTACTGACTAAAGTGCGCGCGCTCAGAGGTAGGGAGGTGGCGACGCACAGCAAGACGTGCAGCAGCGTCGCGCGTGGCCCACTGGGAGCGAATAGTGGCGTCAGCATCAGCAGCAGGGGCAGGGGCAGCGCCAGAGGTGAGGTCAAAGAGAGAGAGGCCGTCTGCCCTATCGCACTGTAAGAACAGCTGCAGGTCATCTACCCAGACCTCAAAGTCAATGGCCCTACCCTCAGCGTCAAAGGCGAGGACACTAGGAGTAGCCATGACCCTAGACGACCAGCAGTGCAAACAGTAGGGTGGGGGGGGCAGTGCAGTGACAAGGGGGGGGGGGGCTGTGCTCACCAGACTGAGCAGGTCGGGCGGCTCGGAAGAAGGGCGGCTCGGCGGCTTGGCTGCTCTGCGGCTGGGCGGCTCGGATGCTCTGCGGCCCGGCGGCTCGGCTGCTCTGTGGCTCGGCTGCTGGGCTGCTCGGCGGCTCGGCTGCGGCTCGGCTGCTGGGCTGCAGGGCGGCTCGGTGGGTGGGCGGCTCGGCGATGCAGCAGGTGGCGGGGCCGAGAGCGAGGTGGCGGGGCCGCAGGTAGGGTGTCGGGGCCGCTGGTAAGGCGGCGGGCCGCAGGTAAAGCGGCAGAGCCGCGGGGAGGGGCGGCACGTGACGCCGCAAAGGACGGCGACGGGCCGGGACAGGCGGCGCACGGGCGGCGAAGAGCCGGGACAGGCGGCGTGGGGCCGGGGCGGGTACCGCACGGGCGGCGACGGGCCGGGGCAGCTGCGCGGGGCCGGTACGAGCGGGGCACGGGCGGCTACGGGCCGGGACAGCGGCGCGGGGCCGGGACGGGCGGCGCCCGAGCGGCGTGGGGCCGGGACGGGCGGCGTACGGGCGTCGACGGGCCGGGGCAGCGGCGCGGGGCCGGGACGAGAGGCGCACGGGCGGCGTGGGGCCGGGACGGGCGAAGGGGGCGTCGACCGGCCGGGGCAGCGGCGCGGGGCCGGGACGGGCGGCGCACGGGCGGCGTGGGGCCGGGACGGGCGGCGCACGGGCGGCGTGGGGCCGGGACGGGCGGCGCACGGGCGGCGTGGGGCCGGGACGGCGGCGCACGGGCGTCGATGGGCCGGGGCAGCAGCGCGGGGCCGGGACGAGCGGCTAAAGGGGCCACTAGGGGCCGAGAGAGAGGGGAGCGCGACTCGGGCAGGGGCTGAGTGCGCTCCGGGCAGGTAAAAAACGGTGGGCCCTAGGAACAGTTCCCACGAGGGAACCTGCTCGATACCATGAGAAAACTGAAACGAGAATGTGTGAACTATGAAATGAAATGAGTACAAGTACTAACCCTAATTGGGTTGTACCCCCTATGAGATACCCCACTATAGCCTACACAAAAGTATAAGCTTTAGTGTTCTGACACACGTATGTGCGATGCAATGGGTAGTCACTAGGTGGGGTATGCACTGGCGGAGTCGTGTCACAAGCACAGACTTGTTCCCCCTCATGACATTTGGCCTGTCACTACTGATCCTAGCAATCCGCCTGAGGTCGATACCAACGTCATGCAGATGCGACAGCAGAAGGCCCATCAATGATGCAGCGTCAGCCTTATTCACGCTCAACAATGATATGAAGTCCGTGACCAGGTTGTCGTCACAATGAATTGTCATAATGAACAAGAGTGATTGAACTAGGAAAGAGTTGGGTACAAGTAGGAAACCCTAAACTTATCGTACCCCATAGTGACTACCCCACTACAGCCTAAACAAACTATCGCAGATATGACATTTGACACACCCCCATAGGCAAAGTGGGGGAGAGCAAGGGGTCACAAGACCACTCAAGAAAGGCAAAGCAAGCTCATGGTGGATCACAACGTCACCACACACACTGAGCGCAAGCAAAGGGCCACAAGGCCAGTTCACATGCAGAGGCATATATGTAACACAAACATCACAGTGATCTCCACCTAGCAAAGTAAGCATGAAGGTATATATATATCATAGTACAAGTAAAGCCTACAGCAAGTGAGGAAAACTGGGCACAAGCCCTAGCACAGTGCAGAAACGCTGATGATCACCAGACTGAAGTGCCTTGGTGAATATATCAGCAGTGTTGGCCCGAGTGGCCACGTAACGCAGACTAAGCTCACCACGCTGCTGCAACTCTCGAGCCAGGAAGTAACGCAGAGCGATGTGCTTTGTTCTGTGCTCCAGTCTGTGCTCCTCACACAAGGCAATGGCAGCCTTGTTGTCAGCGTACAGCACTGGAGGAGAACGAGGCCGCTCTCCCAAGTCAGTCAGCAGGTAGGTGAGCCAACGTAACTCCTGTGCAGCCATGGCTGTGACGTAGATCTCAGCCTCACAACCGGAGCTAAGAACTGAAGACGAGCGTATAGAACGCCAAGAAACTGAACCAGAGCCAAGACTGAAGGTGTAACCCTGTGACGACCGCTGAGTAGCCTGGTCGTTTACCCAAGAAGCGTCCGAGTGCCCAGTGAGGACAATTGGGCTCCTCCCTCCAAGCACGAGCCCCATGCCTGATGTATTGCACAAGTAACGGAGTACCCTCTTAGCAGCATCCCAGTGCACCTTTTGGTGCCAACCAGGAGCCACGTAGCGAGCCAGAAGGCCAAGAGGGTATGCGAGGTCAAAACGAATGCAAGTCATCAGGTACATGAGGCAGCCAACTAGATCTAGGTAAGGACCACTCGGCTCTACAGACAAGTCCGAAGGTGGAGCTGAGACAGAGTGACCTGTAGATAGAGGAGTGGCCTGTGCTTAGGACCAGGTGAAGCCGAAGCGCTGAAGGACCTGCTGCACCATGTGTGACTAAGTCAGTGTGATGGTGCGGCGTGCTCTGTCCCGGGTGATCTGCAAGCCAAGGTAGCTACGCAGCTCACCCAGGGCTATGCACGTGTGTCTCTTCTGCAGCTCCAACTTCACCAGGGTGAGAGCCTCAGTGTCAGTAGTGGCAAAGACCAAGTCGTCGACGTACACTAGGATGTAGAACGGCGGCAGCGAAGTGTCGTTGCGTAGAAACAGCGACGGGTCAGCAGTAGAAGGCGCGAACCCAAGAGCCGCAAGTGTAGTCCTCAATGTGTCGTGCCACTCACATGGCGCCTTGCGAAGACCATAGACTGGCCGCCGGAGGCTCCACTGGGTACCAGGAGGAAACGACCCAGTGAAGCCAGGTGGGCGGCGCAGCCAGATCTCCTCATGAAGGTTGCCCTACAGGAAAGCTGTGCAGAAGTCAAGAGAGTGAAGCTCGTAGTCACGCTGAGCGGCAACATGCAGTAACACCCGAAGAGTGGTCATCTTCGGGGTGGGGGAGAAGGTCTGGAAGAAGTCTACTCCCTCTCGCTGACTGAAGCCTCGAGCAACGTAACGAGCCTTGAAGACAGGCGGAGAACCTAGCGGCCGCTTCACCCTAGAAATCCACGTGCCACTGAGTTCGCCCTAGGAGGGGGAACCTCGTTAACGTAAGTGCCTGTGGACTTCCAGGATGCCATCTCTGTGTCCATGGCTGTCTGCCACTGAGAGGAGTACTCACTCGCGATCGCCTCAGCGTAAGAATGCGGGGTCGGGATGTCTGGCGCATCCATGTCTCCCTCAGGTGCAATCAGCATGGACACGAGATGAGGTACAGCAGTGGCAAAGCCCTCAAACTCCTCGTGCCTGTCCTCAAGGACGTTAGTGCCAAGCGCACACTCACCCCTGACGGACGGAGGACAGACAGACTCAGACTCGGCAACAAGACTCGCGGCGTAGTCTAGACGACAGGGAGCAGCAAAGTCGACAAGCTCAGCAACTAAGGCAGACACAGCAGCTAAATCAAAGGAAGGGTCAGTGACAGCAGTGGCTAGGAGACGCATGACAGTAGGACTAGCAGCACGAAGAGAGTCAGACTCCGGGTCAGCAAGGGCAGGAAGGGAGGACGCAGGAGGAGAAGGCAGAGGGACGCATTGGGGAGCAGTGGAAAGACAAAGCGTCATCTGGTGAGTGCCTGGGACAGCAGGAGGACGTTGGCGCGTGACACGACGACCAGTGCAAGCAGCACGAACAAGTGACGAATAATGAGAATCATGCGACACAGGACGAGACTCAGGCTCACAACGCTCCGTAAGACCTCCTGTCGGACCAGTGTAGGGAGAAGGAGCAGGGAGTGGCGAGGTAGGCTGTAACTGTGACTGTGATTGGACAGGCAGAGGACACTCTAAGGAGGGAGTAGGACAAGGAGGAGGCGGCTGACCAAGAACCTGCTAAAGGAGCGGAACGAAGTACGGCCGCGGCCGTGAAGCACCCCTAGAGCTAGCAGAGCCCCCAGCAGCATCTCCAACTCCTGTAGCACCACCACCAGCTCTAGTAGTGCCAACTCCAGCACCCCTTGTGGCATCAGCTTTAGCCGCACCGGCGGCTCCAGCACCTGCAGGAGGATGAGTGTTACCACTTCCAGCTCCAGCCCCTGCAACACCAACCCCAGGGTCAGTAGCTACACCAACTCCAGGAGACCCAGCGGTCTCAGCTCTACCGGCAGCTCCAGTAGCTCCACCACCTCCGCCTCCAACTCCAGCACCAGCAGCACCTCCAGCACCAGCAGTAACTGGGCCTCCAATGGGTGGCACCCCAGAGCTAGGAGCGCCGCTCCGAAGGCTGCAGCGCCGAGCTTACCACTCACGCAGCCGCTGTGGGGAGGGAGACTCCTATCGTGACACAGCACCCGCAGCACCGCCAGCTCCAACTCCGGCAGAACCCCCAGCTCCAGCAGCCCCACACCGGAGGCTACAACGCTGAGAGTACCACTTATGCAGCTGCTCTGAAGAGGGAGCGCCTCCAGGCTCAGCACGGTCAGTCTCAGCACCCCAAGGCTCACCACCCCCAGTCTCAACACCCCAAGGCGCAGCACCCCCAGGCTCAGCACCCCCAGTCTCAGCACCCCCAGTCTCAGCACCCTCAGGCTCAGCACCCCCAGACGCAGTAACCCTCGCAGGACCAGAGTCGACATCTACCTCGACAGGCTCGACCGGGTCTACCTGGGAAACACCTGAGGGAGCAGGACCTTGGGGAGGAAGGGGGTCTACCGAAGGGACACCTAGGGTAAGGAAGAGTGTCGGGGGGGGGGGGGGGGAGCAGCGCAGTGCGGTAGGGGAACAGACAGTAAAAGGGTAGCAACTCGTCAAAAGTGACGTCCTGAGAGGGGATGACACGGCGCGAGGTGGGGTGGTAAAACTGCCAGCCAGGCGCGTCAGGGACAAAGCCAAGGAAGACGCAGGGAACGGCACAGGAGGAGAGCTTGTCCGCGGACGTATCGCGGACAAAGGCTAGACATCCCCAGACCCGGAACACCGACGCATCGCCAACCTCCCCCGTCCAACGTAGTGTGGGCGAGGTCTCTGGAGCAGAGACACGGGGCCAGAGGTTGAGCTGATGCGCAGCGTACTGCACTGCAAACGGCCACAGGAAATGGGGGGCACCCGCATGGATAATGGAGGTACGAGCGACCTCCATGACTAAGCCAATGCGGCGCTTAGCAACCACATTCTGTTCTGGAGAGGCCGGAAGCGTGAACGTCTGGCGAATGCCGTGCTCCGCTCAGTAGGCTGGAAAGAGGTTGGAGGAAAACTCACCACCCCTGTCAGAGTGCAGACGCAGGACAGGAATGTCCGACTGGAACCGCGGGCGGAGCTGGAGACGAGCAGCGCGGATCCAAGGGATCAAAACATCAGGGACCTCACCCTTGGTGCGCAAGGGGAAGACCGTGGTGTAGCGCGTGTAGTCGTCGACAACCAGCAGGAAGTACCGCTCGTGGCCCTATCCACGGACGCGGGCGGGGCCCCACACGTCCAGGTGGAGAGTCTGCAGGGGAGCCTCTGTGGGAGAGAACGAGGAGGAGTGTGTCAGAACATTATAGCTTACTTATTTGTGTAGGCTATAGTGGGGTATCCCATAAGGGGTACAACCCAATCAGGGTTTCCTATTTGTACTCACTTCATTCATAGTTCATTCATTCTCGTTCACTTCTTCTCATGGTATCGAGCAAGTTCCCCTGTGGGAACTATGCTTAGGGCCCACCACTACTACCTCGAACTTTTTTTCTGCCCGTAGCGCGCTCCGGGCTCTCTCTCTTCCTTTTCTTGACCGGCCCTTCGCCGCCAGCGCGCCGCCCTAGCCGCCAGCGCTCCGCCCGCCCTTGAGCCTGAGCGCCGCCATTAGCAGCCCGCGAACCGCCCTTAGCAGCCCGCGCGCCGCCCTAGCGCCCGCGCTCCGCTCGCCCGCCCTAGCGCCCTAGCGCCCGCGCGCTGCCCTACGCAGCCCGCGCGCAGCTCGCGTGAGCCGCCTGTCAGCCGCCCTTAGCCGCTCGACTCGCCGCCCGTGCGCCGCCCTCTGCCGCTCGTGAGCCGCCCGTGCGCCACCCGCGAGCCGCCCGACCCGCCGCCCGACGCGCCGCCCGTGCGCCGCTCTCGGCTGCCCGTGAGCTACACGTGCACTGCACGTGCGCCACCCGTCAGCCGCCCGTCAGCCGCCCGTGGCTGCTCGACGCGCCGCCCGCGCAGCCGCGCGTGAG